TTCACCTTTTGACGCCATCCTTTCCATTCGAAGGCAACAATTCAAGCGCGTCCGCTCAGCCAATAATTTGCATAAACACGATTTTCACAGAAAACAACACGAGAAGAAAAGAAAATCTGTACACGTCGAAGATATGTTTCTATCCTTAATCTCTTCTCCATGGCCTCGTCACCTTTCTCCGCGTGCATACATCACTATAGACGTGGCTGTTAATCCGTGACAAATGCGAGGAATTCAACTTCCACTCATTGAAACGCACGCGCAATTTAATTCGCGATAATCAATTCGATCTTTCTTTTTTTTCGGAAATGACGCGCAAAGATCGGAGAGAAAAAAAAGTATAATTGAATCATAAATGATTGTGGTAATTTATACTAAATTATCGTTAATTTCTAATATTTAATATTACTTTGTGCTTTATATTCTCCGTGACGGAGATTAGTAATAAAATTCAAGCTCTAAAGTCCCAAAATTAATAATAAGTAATTCAACTCTAAATTGTTGTATGGTCTTTAATATCGAAAATCACGTGTTTAATCAAATAACAGAGCAAAGCATGGATCGAGTGACGACGTACCGATTTCTGAAGCTCCTCCTCTATGAAGCATGGAAACGTGACTTATTATTTTCCCAATTTTTCTAGATTTTCCGGGAACTTTTAAAACTCTGGAAACGTTTGACACATAAAACACGAGAAGAAGGAAGACGGCAAAGAAAAAAGAAGAAAAATCGCGAATAAAACAATTAACTTACGCGACGGGAATTGTTTAATTACATGGTTGGTACACCTGATACTTCATAATTATGGAAGTTATGTTACGCTGCTACATTGTAATCAACGGAAGCGTTGCATTATTCCAAACAGGAACTCCTTCGTGACGAAATTATGTTAATAAAAATAAGGAAGATCGAGCATGCATGCACCATTAAAAATCTTCTGCCTGGACGAAACAAAGGAAAAAACGTCTTAATTAAGAATTTGTGAGTTGCATCCATCCTCCCATTGGTATAGTCTTAGAATTCGATAGTTATTAATTCTTCACATCCTGGTTAAAAGAAATTCTCAGAATATTGGAGTATTTACAATATTTTCTACTCGATTTCAAAATTAACGGGGGGGAAAAAAGAAATGTTTGCATTGTTCTCTCTGCGACTGGTTCGTTCGATTCGAAATTGGAACCAAATAGATCCAACAGATAATATAACAGAGGAGAATGGAGCAGAAAGATACGTGTGGACTGAAGAAGCCACAGCCTTAATGAACGTAATCTCGAGTGTTACGAGTCCCTTAAAATAGTATCATCTTTTCTCGAAACCCTGAGACTCTTTCGGCCTCTCAGCACGCGGATCGCGTGCACCAAGATGCACGTGACGAGTCTGCAAATGCAAGTCTCACGCAGTTGGGGACTTGCCTTTTTTTTCTCTTTACACGCGTCGCAAGATGCTCGCGGAGCCGCTTCTTCTGTTTTTCTGCGCTCCTCTCGCGTGATGTATGCTTCCACAGATTTTTCGTGTATTCATAAAGCTAGCCGAGGCACGCTCGATTACACTTTCGCGCGGCGGTGAGATTGAGAAAAAAAAAAA